CCGCCGGCCCCGCCGCCCGCCCGCCGCAAGCAGGGCAGCCGAGGCGGCGCGGTGGGCAGAGGCTGGAAACTTACCCGGGGTCGTGCTGGGAGTCGTTGGCGCTGCCCGAGGTGCCTTGGCTCCCATTTGCCTCCATAGCGGAGCCCCCCCGCCCCCCCACCCCCGACACACCGAGCCCCACAGCGGTCGGAGCGGAGCGGCGGCCGGCTCCGAGCCCCAGATCTCCGCTCCCTCCTCCCCCTCCTCGGCCCCCCCGCCCGGGCTCCTCAGAATCGCGCTGCGAGCCGCGGAGCCGGGGCCGCGGCGAGAGCCGTCACACGTGGGCTCGGCTTAGCTCAGCCCCGCCGCCTCGCACACCCCCGTCCCCGTCCCCGCCCCCCCGGCCCATCCCCACCTCTCCCCCTCCTCCTCCCCACCCCCATCCCCTCCTCCTCCGCCTCCGCCTCCTCCCCTCCTCCCCGCGCCTGGGGGGCGGAGTTCTAGAACGTCGTGTAACCAATGCGGTGACGTCACGCACCCCGGGGCGGCCCCGCCCGTCAGCGCGCACACTCGGCCCCCCGTGGACCGTGGCGGACCCACGGGGGCGGCGCGCGAACCCCGCGGCCTGAGGGGGCTCCGCCTCCCGGCCGGCGCGGCGCGGACGAAGAGGGGGAGCGCACCCCGACTCCCTGATCACATGGGCTGCGGGGGGCGGGGGGACGGGAAGATCGGGGGAAGGGGAGGCGCGGAGACCGGCCGCCGCTCCTCACCCGGGCCGGATTAGACGCCCCCCGCCCCCCCCCACTAGTTCGTCCTCTCCATTCAAGTTCGCCGGGCCTGGCCGCGGGGCTCGGGGATGACACCAGCCGCCCGGCCAGCTCTGCGCTGTTACCAGCCACCGCGCAGAAATTTAGGTCAAGGACGTCGGGAGCAAACCCACACCCAGGCGCTCTTCGGGCGGCCCCCAAGACCCCCACCCCAGGATCGGGAAGGAGAGAGACCCTCCCACCCGCGCACACACCAGCCACAAGTTTTATTTTGCCTTCGCGCTGCAAGTTCGGCGCTCGCTCCACACCGGAACGTCTTGCGCGGCTCCCCGCCCTTCCCCGGCAGAGGTACGAATTCGTGCCCGGGAAAGGTTATTTTGGAAGTTAGAGAAACTGTCGCGATACCGGTGACCAGAAGGTGACTAAGAAAGGGTCTCCGCGTTAATCACGCCGCTTTTTTAAAATATAGTAAAATAGACTGGGATGGGGAGGTCAAATGATGGGAGCTTAAAGCTTGTCTCTAGAGTGAGAAGTAGTTTTGTAGCGGCTCCAGAATGGCTGGGAAGAGTGGTTATTTCAAGAAAGCCCTCTCCAAACGGTCTAGTTCCTATTTTATTATTTCTCAAGTTATCCGAGCTTTCTGAGCTCAGGTAGTAAAATGCAGGAGATCGAAACAGCCCATGGCTTCTCAGGACCTGGGTGGGGAGGTCGCTGCGTGGCACTGGCTTCAATCCCTTACCCCCTCATTCATGTCCAGGGCGGAATAGGCGACCTGGCCTCAATAGGTGCCTCATAAATGCTGCTTTCTTCCCTGCATACAATGAGAACTCCAGAAAGATAATGTTTTTAGCTTCCCAAAGCCATCCGCTCACTTCTCCAGCAGATTCTACACTGGCCAAATTCAGGCTGGATTTAATTTATGGGGTATTTAAAACAATAAGGATATAATTATCCTTATTGTTCTTAATTATTGCAGTAAGCTAAGTTAATATGGCATGAGGGCAACATGAAGTTGTGGTTCATCAAATACTCAGATTAATGTGAAGCATAAATTGGTGCCCAATTAACACTTTTCCGTTAATTTTTGTAGGATTAGAAGACAATGGAATACACTCAACACCAAACTGTACCAAATCCATTGTGGGTCCTAGAAACATACAACTTTTGGAAAATCTCAACACCAGCCAAAGCCTTGGGTGACCAGACCCTCAACCTCTCTTTCCTCTAAATTGAGCTAATTAACTCTCTGACAGGATGGTTGAGGGAGTCTGAAGTGTTAAAAGTGAACACATTTTTCATTGTAAACTCGAATGGATCATTGTCATTACCAGTCATTACTTAATATGATTTTTAGACGGCTTTCTAAGACTTTAAAACCACAAGCCCAAGCACTTCAGTTCCCTCCAAACTGTTCCTTAAGTCATCTGGGGGTCTCATGTGTTGAAAAGCCAGTGTTAAGGAATGGTAATTGTTACGGTTATTCTCAATAACAAAATGCAGACAACAGAGCTAATTGCATTGTGGTTTTGGTTCTGTACACCCAGGACAGACATTTGAGACAGAAAGGACTTTCTTAGCCCAACCTCTTTATTTTACTTGAGGGTCAAGTTTGCAGGCTCCATCCTATCCGCCCCCACCCCTAAGTTAATTCCTAGGGGGAGCTGTGGCCATCAGTCCAATGCCACAGGTTCTGCTGCCTGGATATTTGTTCTGTCCTTCACAAGGAGATAGTGGGTGTCCTTCCTCGTGGTATAGGTGTACACAGGTGACGAAGTCAGTGCATCTGAGAAGGACTAGCCCTGAGGTGACCAATTCAGTGACTCAGAAAGGACTAGATGGAAGTCTCCCATCCTTAATATTTTTTTCCTTATTTTTAACTTACAGGTAGTAGTAACATGATAGTCCCAGACCTCTACCTGCTCTGTAATTCTGAGTCTTGACAAAGGTACACAATTATGTAACCACCACCAGGTCAAGATGCAGAACAATTTCACTATCCCAAGAATTCCCTTTTACTGTCCCTTTCCACTAAGTTATTTATAATGAATTATTAGTAATACCACATATCCTCTGGCTCTCAGTCGATGTAGTCCCTGCACCAGGAGCATTCTGGCAGTAAAGGGGCAGACCCTATCACTCTTCGTGTCAACACTGGTGGACAGTCCTGCCGGGAGACTCAACTGTCCCTAGCCCTCTTGATGCCACACTGGCCTGGTTCCTCTCATTCCTTCCCAGTCCCTCCTCCTTTTGTCTCTTTATGCCAAGTGTTCTTCTGCCTCACCTTTAAATATTGAAGTTCACCTCCGGCCCTCTTTTCTCCCTGGGGTGAATTTTGGTGGGATGGGTTGAAACACCTCCTACCTACTGAAGTCACCCTAAATCTCCAACCCTGACCTTCACAAAGAGTTCCAGACACTGGTCAGTCTCCTAGTGAGCATCTCCACGTAACACTCCTAAAAGTTCTTTAAAACCACATGCTCACTCTTTTGTCCTAAATCTGAATTTTGTTTAGGGTCCCCTCTGTCAGTGAACAATTCCCTGCCCTGGAAGGCAACAAGGTTGGCCCCCCATGTGCAAATCCATCAGGATGGCAGGTCTGAGGGTGCCTGTCATCTGCACTGTCCCTCAAATCCATCTTTCTTGTACTGCATCTCCGATCTCTCACCTGAGGCCCTCAGTGGCCTCCAAAACAGTCTTCCCACATCTCCTACTGCACTTGCACCTGGAAAGCTTTCCCAGAGCTCTGTCCCGGTCAGCTGTCCTTGACACACACTGTTAACCCTCCAGAATGTCCTCTGTGTATCTTGCCTCTTTGATCATTTGCTTTACTGCCCATCTTCCCACCAGGCCACAGGCTCCCATCCACTATGGCTCTCCTTGTACCAGCAGTGTCTGCTGGTGCTCAGGTGACACTGGGTAAATAATTGCTGAGTGGATGGATGGATGGATGGATGGATGGATGGATGGATGGATGAATGGATGGATGGATGAATAGATGGATGGATGGGTAGATGGATGTGTGGATGGATGGATGGATGGATGTGTGGATGGATGAATGGATGTGTGGGTGGATGGGTGTGGATGGATGGATGGATGGGTGGATGGATGAGTAGATGGATGGATGGATGGATGGATGGATGGATGGATGGATGGATGGTCAATATCTAATTTCATCCCAAGATTTTTTGGGAAAAAACTGACTGCACATTCCCCTTTCACGGTGCCTTTCTTTGGTTCCACAGGCCTCCTAAAGTGAGCTGGTAAATGTTCCTTCCTTTTCATTTTTTGGAACAGTGTGTTTAAGATGGGAATTATGTGTTCCTTAAATATTTGGTAGAACTTGCCAGTAAAGTGTCTGGGGCTGGGAAGGCCTTTTCACAGGTTGATTTTTAACTACGGCTTCCATTTCCTCAATGTTATTATGGAGCTCGCCAGCTATTCTGTTTCCTTTTAGAATCCATTTCTGCACACTATATTTGTCCAGGAAATTATCCATACCATCTATGTTTTAAAAAATACTGACAAAATGCAGCTCACAGTGTTAGTGTATTTTAATCTCTAATCTCTTTATCCACAATGTCCCTTTTTAAAATTTCAAATATTCTTTTATGTATGTCTTCTTCCTTTATCTGCCTCAATTATACCAGTGTCCTACTTCTTGTGTTTTCTTTCTTTTTTCTATTAGCACTTTCAAATAATCAGATTTTAGTTTTGTTAACAGTATTTTCTTATATTTTTAAAAATTTTTTTTAGCGTACTTGGTACAAGGTCTCACTATGCAACTCAGACTGCTAGTGATCCTCCTGTTTTCAGCCTCCCCAGTGCTGCGATTACAGGCATGCGCCACCACACCCTGATTCTGTGGCTGGCTCAGCGGGCCTGGAGGTGGGGCCAGCGTGGCATTTGGTCCCAGCAATTGAACCCCAGTCCCTGTGCTTGCCTAAGCAGGTGCTTAGTCCACTGAGCTATCTCACCAGCCTTAACAGTATTTTCTTTGTTTCATTAATTCTGTCATAGGGGCTGGGGACTTGGCTCAGCAGTAGAATGCTTGTCTAGCAAGCTGGAAGCCCTGGGTTCAGTCCTCGGCACCAAAAACAAAAAATAAATCTCCCCTAAAAAACAATTCAACCAAAAACATACAATAAAACGAAAAAAAAAAAAAAAGACCAAAAACAAACAAGGTAACTGCACATTAATTTTGCTATAGAGTATACATCTTACATTCTTATGTGCTACATAAAACTATATGACATTAACATATACTATACATCATATGTTCCCTTCCTCTTCCTCCTCTTCAAGTGGATTGTTGCTCTTTAGTAAATGTCTTGACTTGGTAGCATAGGTAGTTAATGTTAATCTTTTCTGTTCTGATTTTAACATTTATGTCTACAGATTTCACCCTATGTCAAGCTACCTATATAGACTTTTTATTGTCTAGTTTGAAAAATTGGTTAGATTTCACGTGTATTTTCTTTGTTGACTTACGGCTCTATCTAGGCATATTTTATAATTTCTAAACATGAAAGCTGTTTGGAAGTTATCTGGGTCTTTATT